ATTTGAACATGTACTTGGCATGGCGACAGAGCCTTTGTTGATTTCTATTTTTCAGGCATCTGCTATTTTTAATCCTTACAAAAACCAAAAAATAAAAAATTATCTGAAGCACCTGAGTTTTTTTCTTAGCAAACAACAACAACAACAACAAGAGCCATCAAGACTCAACATGAAAGGTAACAAAATGTACAAGCTCACCTCATTCCTTCCCTCCTATTCCCTTTAACAACTTCCTAGCAGGCCACTGCCCAGTGCTCTCTTCCCTGTCTGGGCTCCTTGCTGGCCTGAAACATCATGGCAAGTGCACTCCCGCCCAGGACCTGTGTGAAATGTTCCCCCTGCCAGGGACGCTCTTCTCAAACATCGCCTCCACCCAGCTCACCGCAGCCCCTTCCAGACAACTACTCAAACACCAGCATCTCACAATATGGCCTTGGCTGGCCGACTTATTACAACAGTCCTGGGCACAGCATTTCCCCCCATTTCCACTGCCATCTTCCCCCAACAGAACATGCACTACAAAAGGAGAGCCTTTGTTTTATTCATCGCTTTATCTCCGGAGCCTGGAACAGCAGCAGTCCGTCTCTAACTGAACCTCCAGTCACAGCTAGCAACAACAAAAGAAAACAGTCTGGAACCCTGAGATCACTACCCCTTTGAATCAAACAACTGCCCTTTGGGGGTGGGGGGAACGTCTTATTTTCAAGCAAATGCAATAACGCATGGGGGGTGCGGGATTCCCTACACACGAAAACATGGAACGCTAAAGCGCACTCAGGCTACAGTTCGGCTGCCACAGGAACCAAGGAATCCTGGCTGAAGATCCTCCAGGGAAGACGGAAGAGGGGCCAAGGCCCTAAGGAGACAGAGTGATTGGAAAATACGGAACAGACGAGTCCAAACTTCAAAGTACGGAGCAAGATACCAGCAATCAGAACTGCAAGTCTTCCACGGGAGGAGGAAAGTCCAGAGAGGGCTGCACCCCTTTCTCTTGGCGCCAGGCTGGGTCTGAGCACTCAGCCCCCAGGTGCTGGGGGGGGGGGGGAGCGTGGGGCTTGGGAAGAGGAGGCCCGGGCTCCCCACAGCGGGTGCAGGAGGGGGGTGTGCCCGGGACACCCTCCTCGCCACCGATTTCCTCAGCGGAAAAAAGGGACGCTGGTTGTGCCTCTCCGCTCCCAAAAAGGCTCGGGGGAGGGCTGACGAGGGCTGACCCCTCCCCCTCGCCAGAGCAAGCCCAAGCCCCCCGGCAGCGCTCCCCAGTCTCCGGCTCACCCGGCTCCCGGTTGATCTCGATGTCGAAGTGGCACTGCGGCCGGTCCTGCGCCCCCATCGCGACCGAGGTGGCGGCAAGAGCTGGGAGAGAGGGAGAGTACAGCGGTCAGGGCGGGGGCTGGGGCGGGGCCGGGGCGGCGCCGGCCTGTCGCCCACAGCGCAGGCGGCGGCCACGACCCGGCTCCCTGCCCGCCCGGGGGCCGCGCAGCGTGCACACGCATCTGGGAGAGCGCTTCACCTGGCTGGCCTCCAGCCTGAACGGCTCCCCCTGCGCAGAGGAGATAGCACCGCCGCCGCCGCCAGAACCCAACGCCACTAACGGAACGCCACCTCCTCCCTCTCCTCCCGGCCCGGCCTCCCAGTGCAACGCTAAGCCCCGCGAGATCGGGACAAATACCGCGAGAGCACAGCCTCGGAGGGGGCGGTTAACCGAAGGGGGCGGTGGAGTCGGGGGTGGGGCGGGAGGCGCGCCCTGGTGGGCGTGTCCGGTAGCTCCAGGGAAGCCTCCAGCCGCGTGCTCCAACACTTGCGCGCTTCCTTTTGGCCCCGCCCTCTGGAGTCAATCACCCAATCGGGGAACCTTGGGTACGCCTGCGTTCTCTGCGCCACCGCGCAGTTTGGGCTGTGGGCGCCCGCCCATTTCGTGGTATCGCGAGACTATGTCGTGGTCCAGCGCTGTGTGCGCCAAGTCGAGGTGGCATAGGCGCCTGTTGTCCGGCGACAACAGTACGCGGCCTCACTTTAAAGGCTTCTAGCGCATTTTTTTAAATGTACTTTTTCGTCTTACTGTTTAGAGTTCTCGCTGCAGATGATTTGTTAGATAGAAATGTGTGTTCTGAATACAAATCTTCGGTCAGACGCTTGCGAGTATTTTCTCCCACTCTGAGCCTTGTTTTAAACTGTCTTCTGGGAAGCAGTATTTAATCTTGGTGAAGCCAGTAATGGCTTTCTTAGAATTGATTTTTCTGTCCTGAGAAACCCCTACCTACCTCACGTTTGTGACAGTATTGCCTACGTTTTCGTCTGGAAATCTTAAGAGTTGCAGCTTTTGCATTCGACTCTGGTCTAATCGAACTTCTTAAGTGTGGGCTTCCATTTTCCTGCAGGGATGTACAGTTCCATCCAAGAGGAAGCACCTGGCTCCTGGCTTCGGATCGGCACAGCGCCGGCCCTGGCGGCCCTTTGGGGGGTGAACCAACAGAAGGAAGACCTTTCTCTCTCTCTCTCTCTCTCTCTCTCTCTCTCTCTCTCTCACTGTCTGTAACTCTGTCAAAATAAATAAATGAAAGTCTTTAAAAAAAAATAAGAAAAAACTGGGTTGGTCCAGCGTTGTGGTGCAGCGGGTTAAAGCCCTGGCCTGAGGCGCCAGCATCCCATATAGACGCGGGTTCAAGACCCAGCTGCTCCTCTTCCGATGCAGCTCTCTGCTATGGCCTGGGAAAGCAGGAGAAGATGGCCCAAGTCCTTGGGTCCCTGCACTCGTGTGGGAGACCCGGAAGAAGCTCCTGGCTCCAGATTTGTGCAGCTCTGGCCATTGTGGCTATCTGGGGAGTGAACCAGCGGATGGAAGACCTCTCTTTCTCCGTCTCTCTGTAACTCTTTCAAATAAATAAAATAAATCTTTAAAAAAAAAAAAAAAAAGACTCGGTGTCCGAACACCATCCCTTTGCAGGTGAGGATTTCAACCTATGGACAACACACTGAGACCACAGCACTTTCTAAATAACTAACCTGGACTCAGCTGCTTCTGAGGCAACCAAACCAAGATAACCAGTTATCTAAATGCCTTACCCTTGGCGGGTAGACCTAGAAGGACTGGCGCAGCCAATATAGCTTCTAGCAGCACCCAGAACATTAAAATATTTGTTACCCAAACACACTCTGCTTGTGAAGACTAGTGTCCAGAAACTGTCAGAGCCAAGGACTCAAAGCAGAATTTAGGGTTTGAACCAAGTCAACAAGTAGGGTCAACATAAAACAAGTTAAGGCCCTACCTGGCAAAAGGCCCTACCTGTTGCCATGGGTTTTTCATAGAAATGTGAATGGAGAGATCCAGTCTCCCCACTAAAGAAGATGTAGCAGAAGATACTTGTGAAAATAAAACCATGCTTTAAGGGGGAAAGAAGTCAGTAACTTAAAAGACCAAAGAGTGTAGTATTCACAATTTGAGATGGCTGGTTCATGGCAGTTGTCTGAACAGCCATCGCTGCTGCCACAACTCCGTGCCTGTCTCCTGCTTGCTGGATCCACCCTCAGCTCAGCTGACAGATCCTAAGTATCCACGCACTATTTAGATATTACAGGCATCCCAAGTTCCAACGCTGGGCTCCAACAAAAGGAGCAGAGACCTGGGCTTCTAATTTTGGGTTCACTCACAAAAATCTTTTGCCTTCATTTTCAGGTAAGTCTCAAAGAGGGAAAATTTTGCTGAATACAACTAATAAAGGCAGAAGGAATAATAAAACAGAAAATCACCATAATGCAATCCTTAATAAATTAAAAAAAAAAAGGTGAGATTACAATTTAAGTGAAAGACCAGTGGGAACCTGAGAATAAATCAGTGCACTTTCTGATGCAATGCAAAGGCAGATACCACTTCCTATGATGTATCAGTGCCAAAATCGTAGAACCTAAGTGAATAAGTCTCTAGATTTGCCAGTTTACAGGAAAATGACATTGGGACATATTTAATATTATAGGAATACAACTGGATGAATCCAGAAAACGAGAGTCTTAAGACACATGACCTAGGATTTTCAACAAATAGCAAAAATGAGGGGGAACCATTCAACAGCTTAAAGTGGCGTCCGGGGCCAGCGCCGTGGCTCACTTGGTTAAACCTTGCCTGCAGTGCTGGCATCCCATATGGGTGCCAGGTTCTAGTCCAGGTTGCTCCTCTTCCAGTCTGGCTCTCTGCTGTGGCCCGGAAAGGCAGTGGAGGATAGCCCAAGTGCTTGGCCCTGCACCCGCATGGGAGACCAGGAGGAAGCACCCGGCTCCTGGCTTCCGATTGGCGCAGGGCTGGCCATGGCGGCCATTTGGGGAATGAACCAACGGAAGGAAGACCTTTCTCTGTTCTCTCTCACTGTCTATAACTCTGTCAAATAAATTTAAAAAAATAAAATAAAATAAATGATATCGGGGCCGGCGCCGCGGCTCACTAGGCTAATCCTCCGCCTTGCGGCGCCAGCACACCGGGTTCTAGTCCCGGTCGGGGTGCCGGATTCTGTCCCGGTTGCCCCTCTTCCAGGCCAGCTCTCTGCTGTGGCCAGGGAGTGCAGTGGAAGATGGCCCAAGTGCTTGGGCCCTGCACCCCATGGGAGACCAGAAGCACCTGGCTCCTGCCATCGGATCAGTGTGGTGCACCGGCCGTGGCGGCCATTGGAGGGTGAACCAACGGCAAAGGAAGACCTTTCTCTCTGTCTCTCTCTGTCCACTCTGCTTGTCAAAAAAATAAATAAATAAATAAAAATGATATCAACAAAATGCCATGTATGAATGTTGTTTGGATCCTGGTTCAGACAAATCAAGACATTTTCTGATGATTGAAGAAAATAATGTTACCTATGATATCCCCAGAGGACATTACAGAACAATTAAGAATCACTACTAATTTTGTTGGCAATGATAATGACATTGTTACATTCCTTACAGTTAAATCTATAGTTTTTCCAGAAAACCAAAAGGAACACTTATTATATGAAAATGTTTATACCTCCTTATCAGTCTTTTGTGGAAAAGCAAGTTTTATTTCAAAGCAACCAGAAAACAGCAGTCAGAGGGAGGACGTTTATAAACTGTTAGGAAGGAGCACACAATCATGTCCATTTGTAAAGGTCAGAGTTAGGAGTCTCACCAACTCCTGCTGATCACCCAACACTCAGTTGAAACTTTTTAGTCTGAAACAAAAATGTAGCCTTGAAGATGTCCACTGTGTTTGTTATCCAAACATGTTCTCATTTTTGGAAAGGTTGTCTGAGCCAGTCTATTGAGAGATCTGCTTAATTATTAAAATAAATATTTACACGGAGAACACAGTTATATTAGTAGCCTTCTTCACATTTTATAAAGAGCCACAGAGGTTTCCTTCACATTTTGAGCAGTCAAGCTGGTAAAGATCCTGTCTCCATTTTGTAGGAAGTGGATTATATTCAATTTCTCTGAACAACAGCCAACTGGAAGATTATTCTGCTTTTGAAGTACTGGCTGGGCTGGCATCTGCAATGGTAGCTAGATAAATGAGATTTCTATGTAACACATGCTGGTACCTATGGGTTAAAAAAAAAAAAAGGAAAAAAATCAAGTTTGTTTTTACCATGAACAAAAAACTGGGAAAGCACTTACCCATAAAGGAGGAATGGCTCATCCACTGATTAGATGATTCAGTGTAATCAATCTTTTTATTTAACATACTTTGAGAAACATAATGCAAACTCTCACCTATTCTTACCAGCTACGTCTGTAGGCCAAGCCATATTAATCTATCTGCACCCCTACTATATTCTCCACACAGCAACCTATGTGATCATTGTACAACAAGCCAATCTAAAAAGCAAAACTACTTTCTTGTTTATTTGAAAAGCAGAGAGCAGGCACTCTTTCATCTATGGATTCACTTCCCCAAACAGCCAGGGTTGGGGTACCAGGGAAGAGAAGCCAGGAGCCATAGAAATCCATCTGAGTCTCCCACAGGGGTGCCGGGGGATCCAACTAATTGAGCAGTTGCCTGCTGCGGCCTAGTGTGCATTCGCCTTTTGGTATCCCTTCCCATGACCTAAAAGGCTTTCCGTGATTAAGGTCCCCAGGCTCATCTGCAGCTCATCTCCCACGGCTTTCCCTTGGCTGAATTTTAACCACGATGGTCTTTTTGTTGTGACTTGAAGATATTCAGCACAATTCCATCCACTGGCCGTCCCAAGTACTTGGGCCAGCATCTGCTGGTTTAGCAGGATACTAGATCGGAAGCAGAAGTGGTTTTCAATCTCAGGCGCACTGATACGGGATGCAGGTGTCGCAAAGGGTGGCTTAACCCACTGTGCAACACCAGCTCCTAGTGTGGCTTTCTTGAACGTTTCTCCAGTAGCAGTGCAATATTTTTCCATGAAGAAATAAGCTACAATTGCTGGACTAGATTTGGAAAATGTTCTCAGGCTCTCTCATTGCAGTCTGGTTAGAAGGCAACTGGGACATCCCCTGACAGCCTGTCCGCGTCACTCCCAGACTGACTACAAGGTAGAAATGGCACGGAGCTTAGCAGCCGAATGGCCTGAAAGAGGGCAGGCAGCGACCCGTGATGAGGAAGGAGCCACGGCTCTTTTCTCTCGAGCCTGGTTTCTCCTGTTCTCCCCTCCCTGTCCATCAGCTGGCATGGCTTCAAGCGAAGTAGGCTCCGCAGTGCGAACGTCCAAGTTCTGCAGACGGAGCCACGTCTAACCCTAGGTTCTGTCCCCTTCCTAGATCAGTCACCCAAGCCTGCTTCGCGCTGGCTGCCCCTTACACTCCAGCCAACGGCGGGAAGAGGGCACTTACTGGACGCACTCGTTCGCCCGGCCTTTGTTCTGATACTCCACGATACAGCGGATGAGCTGGTCATTCTCTTCCAGGAGCTGAAAGGGCAGAGACAGGGTTAGGCCGGCGACGAGGGCCGCTCCCTTCCGCCCGTGCAGGCCGTGCAGCCCGGGCGCCGGGGCTGGCTTCGTTCCCACCGCGCTCCAACACCCTCCGCACGCTGCAAGCCTCAGCTGGGATGCAGGTCACTCCAGGAGGTTCCCCGCGCCCCTCGCGACCCCGACTCCACTCCCCAGCATTGCCGCCTACCCGCTGGATGGTCTCTTGATTGACTTCCGCACTGCCCCTCAGCCAGTCGGGTACGAAGGCCACAGACATCCCGGGGAGCCTGGGCAAAAAAAAAAAAAAAAAAAACAACCCACACGTCAGAAACCGCGGCGGGCCGTGCACCTAGGCCGGAGCGGCACCCCACGATTGGCAGGCTTACGCTCTCGACGGTGATTGGACCCACCCGCGACGTCAGCTGTGATTGGACGCGCCAGAGCGACGTTCTACGCCCTCCTCGGGCCCCGCCTCCAGGGCTCCGTGCGGGTTGCGCGCGCCACGCGCTTGCGCAGTCGGGAAAGCAAACCGGGAGCCCGGGTGGTGGCTGCCGTGAGCGTGTCAACTGGTTGACGTTCAGACAGTGTGTCCCGAGTCTGTCTGAAAGAGCAGCTTGCTATGGGTCACACACCAGCTCGTGACTGGAACCCATTTCTATGGCTTCGAGTCCACTGCCCGGCCTCTAGGCCTCTCTCTGGAGCGTGAATCCTGGCCACTGGCTCGCGCCTGGCAGGAGAACGCTGGTGTCCGCTTTGCTCTTTGCGGAGGGAGAAACTCCTGAGTGTGCGCCCACATTCTCTGCGGACCATAATAATGCTTACTAGGTTTACAGCCCTCAGAACCTCTCGTGTTTTCTCCATTTTACAGATGAGAAAAACAGGTTCAGTAACTTGTCCAAGGTCCCCTATCCACTACGGACCACGGCAGTCTCTGTAGTCACAGGCGGTGTGGCTTGAATGCCCTCACTCGTCCCCTCGCCCCCGGGCTGCCTAGGCTCCACGCTGCAAAGAGGATTTGTTGTTGCAAGATGCCTGGAGGAAGCTGGCTCTGCCCTCCCGCCGCGCAGAGTGGCTGTGATCGCTGCGACTTTGGAATGGCCGCAGTCCTCAAGCCCACGGGTGGTGAACTTGGCACCAACGCTGCTCTTACGGACAGCATGGAGTGAGCAGCAACCAGGTGATCTGGGAAAGAGAACTTGGGGGGAACTTCTAGAGTTTCATTTCCTGTCTCAGAGGCTTGTCTGCCTTCCTGGGTTCACCGTCCACGGTCCGCTTAATTCAACCCCACCCCCCATGCAGGGGCATCGCTTTGCTCTTTGGTTGCTCTTTGTTTAGAGGAGGCACCTGGGGGTCGAAGACTGGGAGATTTGGGAGCATGCAAGAGATTTGCAAGCTGATAGTGGAGTACTTAGGAGAGAGAGCTGACTGGACAAACACAGACTGCTGCACCGGGTGGAGAGCTTGGCTGAAGTAGGCAATGTATGCAGCACCAGTCTGAGTGGCTGTGAAATTGTTACAGCCCAGGAGCAAACTGAGAGAAGACAGAAGGTTGGGGAGCCGCCAGGCAGATGTGATGGGTGGCGCAAGGGGCGTGAGCAAACTGGGAAGATTGTGTTGGGGGTGAGGGGCCCTGGACGCGCTGTTGAAGGAAGTCAAGACCGGAGGGAACCGATACATAGAACAAAGTGGAGGAACTACTGGACCGGAAGTTCCCACAGGCCGGAGAACAGTGCGAGGACATGTAGGAGACCAGGTTCTGCGATTGTAACTCCAGAGATGCAGCTCCTGTGTGGCGACACCAGAGTCCAGGGTCCAAGAGAGAAGCAGGGAAGAGGCCTGGAAGAGAAAGCGGCAGGAGTTGACTGTGAGGCTGGAGCCCAGTGGCCAGCAGTTGGAGACGAAGGCCAGGACTTTAGCTTCCGCCTGCCTGTCATCCATCGTGGGGCTGGCTTGCATTGCACCAGCTGCTCCAGTCAGAGAGGAAAGACCCTAAAGGAAAGCACTTAGCCTGCAGCTTTGAGCGTGCCCGGCTTCACATCCCAAAGCTCCCGGATGTTATAGACCTGGCACCCATTTTCCTGTCCCTCCCCCAGAGCCTTGTCTTCAGTGGCCCACGGTAGCACAGTTAAAGAACACACGCTGAGAGCGAACCCTAGCACGTGCAGCACAGGACTCTCAAATCGTCTAGTTTTTCTCGCCATACAAGCTGATCTCTCTCTAAAACACACTTCTTCCCTTTGCCTCGTTAGCTGCCCCTCAGCCACCGTCACCTCCTCAGGGAAGCCTCCTTTGAGCCCCAAGGCCAAAAGCCCTGAGACAGCAGTTTGTATCTCCACGTGCTGGCTCCCTGCCCTCCTTTCCTCACGGGTTCGAGCGGCAGGAGGACGTCCTTGCTGGTCCCGGGCCTGGCCCACACAACAGGTGCTGAGTGAGTTAAGTGCATGCAGTCGGCTCCCCACTCTGCGTCCAGCCGGCCCTCAGCCTGGGGCGTGTCCCTTCAGGACCGGACTTTGGCACCCCATCCAGGCTGGCAGTAGGCCGGGCTCCTCTGGGTTGCCTCCCTCGGGCCTCTCGCCCAGCAGCTCAGACTCGCGGAACCCACGCTTCGGGCGTGTCGCTCGGTCACGCGGAGCCGCCACGCCTCCAGACGTGCGTGCCGTTCGCTACCCGGGCGGGATTCGAGCTCCTGGCACCTCCGGAGGTGAGGATTACCGGCTTGGACCTCAGATCCCCGTGGACCAGAGCCTGGAGGTGGGAGGGAAACCTGAGAGGCGCGCACCCAGGTCACGCCCCTCTCCGTTTGGGTCGCCCCTTTAAGAACTACTTTATTCGCTGTCCCACCGGGACCGGGCTCTGGAGACGCTCCAGGATTGGTTGGTTTGGGTGCCGGTGTCGCCTAGCAGCAGCGAATGAGGGCTCAAGGCTTGCGCACGCGCATCGCCGCCTACCTGCTCCAGGGCCACCGGTGTCCTGCGCCGGCGCTTGCCCGGTGGGCTAAGGTTGCCGGGGCGGCGGCGAGTGCCCACTCCCGAAGGCCGCCGTCGGGGCGAGGTGAGGGCTGGCCGGCGAAGGCGGGTGCCGCGGGCCGTTAGCCTCGAGCAGGCGGGATCGGGTGTGGCGCAGGGCGGGCCTGGAGGTGGAGGCGGCCGGGAGGCCCGCCCCGCCCTCCAACGCCAGCCCTCGTCCCGGCCTGGACCCGCCCGGCGTCATCTGGCTTCCCGGAGCCCTCTGAGTCGCCTTTGTCTCGGCTGCTCCCGAGGACCGCGGGACGAGCCGAGGCGCGCGCCTGCAGGACCCCCTCGGCGGACAGGTGCGCGCCGAGCGCTGCCCGCGGTGGGAGGAGACGGGGAGTGTCCTCTACGGGAGGGGACGCTTGTGGTTTAACTGTCCGCCCAGCTCACGTCATCGAGCGGCTGGGGCCGGACCCGGTGCACCACAGCCGTGAATGACCGTCGGTCGTGGGGCGGTCCCGCTGCGGGTTCACACACGGACCTGCAGAGCCCCCATAGAGGCAGTTGCAGCAAGTGTGACCTTACCAACAGGTCCCCGGTTCGTTTTAGTATTAGTGCTCTTACCAAAAAAAAAAAAAAAAAAATGTGTTGGGCAGGTGTCTGGCCTGTTGGTTATACGCCCTGTTCCATACGCGCCACGGGCTCCGGATTCCAGCTTCTTGCTAATGCAGACCCTGGGAGGGCAGCGCTGGGGGCTCCCCGAATTGGGTTCCCGCCACCCCCGTGGGAGACTCGGACTGAATTCCCAGTCTCCACCAGGATGTGATAGGGACGTTTGGGGAGTGACCCAGCCGAGGGGAGCGTTCTCTTTGCCTTAAAAAAAATTTTTTTTTAAAGAAAAGGATTATTTTGGACTGATTGTAATTCTCAAGGTTGGATTTAGAGAAGCGGGCTGTGGTGGAAAGACTGGGCTTTTTTTTTTTTTTTTTTTTTACTATTTCAAAAAGAAGTTTGTATCTGAATCCCGGTTCTACCTCTTTAGCCTTGCAGCTGCTGTTTTCCTACCTGTCCAGTGCAAAATGTGCCTACGTTATAGGTAGTTACGAGTACTTAGGATCAGCATCACCACTGTAAAAGTTCCTAACACAGAGCCTGGCATATCCCATCCTGCCTCGGTATCCCTAGGGGATTGGTTCCAGCTCCCTTCCGATAGGGAATCTGCCGATGCCCAGGTGTCTTATATAAAGTGTAAGGGACATACTCCCGTGTACTTTACATCAGCTGCAGGTTACGTATAATAACTAATGCAATGTCAGTACAGTATTATTCATTGTTTTATGGTATTGTTAGGGAATAACGACAAGGAAAATGTGTACTGTCTCTTCAGTACCGATGCAACTCTTTTTGAGGCTGGGAGTGGAATGAATCCTCAGATGCAGTACCCAGGGATGCACAAGGCTGACTGTAGTATTAGTTCCTGTAAAGGTCAGCTCCTTACCCTTCTCGGCTCCTAACAAATGACAGAGTTGATCCTCACCTTCCGCTCCACTACATCCCCAAGCAGCTCGGAGCTTAGAGACTCTACGGATTAGGCGACAGGTTCCCAAGTCCTGTGGCTGCGGGTGAATTCCGTAAGGGTGATGCAGTTCGGGTGTGTGCTCTGTACTGCGAATCTGAGAACTGAGCCACATGCCTTATGGTGAACACTTGGGTTTGGATATTTGTGTGACAAAACAAACCCGTTCTGCTGGTTTAAATTCTTGTTACAGAGCCCGGTCATCTCTGTTCTCTCTGTCCTGTCTTACTGAATGTGGAAGGGATCTAGGGTGGGTTAAGGGTAAAAGGGGGAGAAAACAGTGCAAACAAGAGTGACCCCTAGTGTGGACACAGTATTTGCTGGTAGAATAAGGACAAGCTACAGATGATAGAGAAGGATTTGTGAAATGAGGGAGGCAGATCGCACAATGTTTTCATAAAACCGCAAAACCTGGATGTTGTGTATTTTGTCATGTTGTACTTAGAAAGTTCCATCCAAATAAACCTTTCGGGCAAAATCTGAATCAGCATTTTGGCACAGGATCTACAAAACTATGTTTGTTGTTTCAGTGTACAAAAATAAGGCATCCCTTAGGCCATTCATTCATTTGCTTGGCAGGTTGTATTGTTTGTTTGTTTGTGTTTTGAAGGCTTCCTAATGTGTGCTTGGGGGTCCATTGGCTTGGAGAAGGAGCTGGTAAGACCGGGAAAGCTGTGGAGAGTGTTTCAGGCTGAGCACTCTAAGGCTGCCTTTGTGCTTGTGGAATTGATGATGTTTTTTCTGGAACTGTGGCATGATTTTCCAGATTCACACCACTGCTTTCCGGTTTTAAACAGAATACTAATTATTCTTGAGCAGCTCTATTTTAATGAGCTCTGAGATGATAATACCTACCACTCTGGAAATGTCAAGTAGTTGTGGAGCTGTTCACTGTAAAACATGCCCTTCAGTGTTTATGTGTAGATCGTCAGAACCACAGTTAATTAGCAGATAAGATTATTGTGCTGGTGGTGCTATTTTAAAATGACATTTAAACATAAAAAAGAAATATGAGCATAATATAAGTGAAACATAAGGATCTTAAGTTAATTCTTTTTTTTTTCCAACTTGTGGTTTAAAATAATTTTAGTCACAGGAAGTTGCAAAGATGTTACAGGGTAGTCCTGTATTTTCTTCACTTGGTTTCCCCCATTGGTTAACTCTTATGTAACTAGTACAATATCAAATTCAGGACATTGACATTGGTATAAAATGTGCATATTGTACTATGCCATTTTTTGACATGTGCTGATTCCTGTAATCACCACCACAATCAAGATACAGATTTACTCCATCACCATAAAGTTCTCCCTTTTACTGCCACTTCATGGTCGCACTCATTTCCCTCCTGCCCACTGTCCTTCAGCTCTGTCTGTCGGTGGTCCATCTGTATAATTTTGTTATTTCAATCATGTTACATGAAAGGATTTGTGCAGGATGCAACCTTCTGATACCTGGCTTTTTTTCAATCAGCGTAAAACTCTTGAGAGCTTTCCAAGGTGTTGTGCATCAATAGTTCATTCTTTTATTTAAAAAAAAAAAAAGGATTTTATTTGTTTATTTGAGAGGCAGAGTTACAGAAAGAGAGAGAGAGACAGAGAGAGAGGTCTTCCATCTGCTGGTTCCCCCCTCCCCAAATGGCTGCAGTGCTGATCCAGAGCTTTCTCCAGGTCTCCCACATGGGTGCAGAGGCCCAAGCTCTTTGGGCCATCTTCCACGGCTTTCCCAGGCCATAAGCAGAGAGCTGGATGGGAAGAGGAGCAGCTGGGACATGAACCAGGGCTCACCTGCGATGACAGCACCACAGGCAAAGGCTTAGCCTGCTATGCCACAGCGCTGGCCCCAGTAGTTCATTCCTTTTCCTGCTGCTGCATAGTATTCCATGGTATGAATGTACTGTGACTTGTTTGGTCATTTGTCATTTGTAGAACATTTTGATCATTTCCAGTTTGAGGTTTTTATAAAGATACAATGAGCAAGTTGCACACAGATTTCTGGGTGGACACGTTTTTATTTCTCTGGCATAAATGCCAGGAGTGGGATTGATAAATAGTTCATATAATAATTGCATGTTGAATTTTAAAAGAAACTACCAAACTTTTCCAAAGAAAAGTTTGCCACTTCACAGTAATATATGAGAGGTACCGTCTGTTTGCACGGTTGCCAACTTTTGATCTTTCACTGTTTTCATTTTAGCTGTTCTGATAGGTATGTGGTCTTAAGTTATATTTCCCAAATAGCTAGTGATGCTGAACATCTTGTCATGTGCTTATTTGCCATCTGCATGTCCTCTTTTGTGTATTTTGCCCATTTTCTGATTGGGTTGTTTTTAGACTGTTCGGTAAGTCCTAGATAAGAGT